ACATACTCCATCCCGAAACGCTGATCCCTTCATTGGCCCCGACACCCATACTTCTCAGTGGCCAGTGCATGTCTCGTATGTTCCTAACGGTTGGACGATGCGGTTACTGAGTTGGTGGCAGCAGTGTTGTAAGTACTGGTGCCAACAGTGCTTGTCAATGTTATGCTCCTGTAGTACTGTCAGCCCACATGAAGTACATAGACATGCAAAAACGCTGCGCACCTGGACTATGAACCAGAGCCGTGGTGACAGCAAGAAATAGCAGCAGCAGTAGGAGTAGTAAGTAGCTGCTTCGGCACTGAGAAGCCCTAAATCAGATCCCTGAGTCCGACGACCGCAAGGTTCATCCTGCTGCGGTTGCGCGTCTACCGGAGTCTGTATGTCACCCGGAGGCCCTTGCCCAGGGCCAGTGCCGGCCTAGGAATTTGGAGGACCACTGGAGTATCAACAGCCGGGTGCTACTTTCTAACTTGCCGTGCTGCTAATGCTGCGCTTCAGTTCTCAGCTCTCGCTTTTATGCACCTGCATACTCATGAAGCAGTGGTTTCGATATCTGTACTATAGCTGCCGCTGTTCGTAGTCTGTCACGGCCAGCATATATCGATGGATTGATCGTGTTGCGCATGAGCATGCTCATTGTATCTGTTTCCAGCAAGGCGTACCATCAGAACTCTTTCGATTCAGGACATGAATCCAAGCAGCAGGACTCGTTACTGTTATCCTTGCCGTGCCAGGAGTACTGGCTGGCACAGGTTCCGTTTCTTTCTTGTTGTCGGTTTACGTTCACTTTTTGTCTCACAGTTTTCTGTCTGTTGCATGTCGTCATCACCGTGGCGAGCTTCATGGAGCATATTCCGTAAGTCGAACAGGGTCACTGTAACAGCGACTGGTAAGAGAAACAAGGTTGGAGATCGTTCTTTCCGGTCCCTGAGCTAAAGGGATTCAGACCTACGACTCCAGCATCTACCTCCAGCCCCAACATCTTCAACCAACGCTAAGACTCCGGAACACACATCCCACGTGCTGAAACCCCGAAGCCTCAATCTTCTCGAAAGCTAGACGTTCAACCCTGGTGCTCAGCCCTCAAATCCGCAACCAATAAAAGCAAACGATTTAAGCACCAACCTAGACTGCACGTAATCCCTAAATCCCTCAACCCCATGCTTCTCTGAGATTCAACGTGTTCGCGCTTCGTTTCCGGTGGTGGTTCCTGCTACGCTTCTGCTCTGGTTTCTGTTGCTGCTGCCGTGCGTTTCGGCTACATTGTGCAAGATCGGTTTAGGTCACTCCCTGACGTGGTTGCCGTTACTCCCCGCACCCGAGGATCGTGATGACTGCTGGTCGCGATGTTTTGGATGAAGACGATGCAAATTGTCATCTTTTTTCACTAAGCTAGGTTTTTGTTTGTGTCCACTGCTGGCGCAGTGCCTGTTGTTGTCTGGTTCTTGCTTTGTCAGGCTTTCTTACTGCCAGCAGCACGGCTGCGATCATGAATCACCCGCGTTACTTCTACATGTTCGGCTGCTAGTTACCATGCGTAGTTTATTGTGAACGGTTTCTACATGCCAGAAGCGAACTGCGAAGTCCCTGCGAAACTGCACAACCTGCCACTGCTGGCACCACCTGCACATCAACCTTACCAACCTTAGAGAGAACAAGCACTGCGAGAAACACGCGTTAGCAACCGGTCAGACAAGGAAGTCTTCAAGGAATTGCATGCAGCAACATGCAGCCGTGCGCGGGATCCCGGACATACCAATTGTTAGAGTCGAAAAGAGCTTCCTGATCACAGCAATATAGCACGCAGCCAGCAACAAGCGGTAACAGAAATGTCAAAAAACACATGGTCTCAAAATCAGCTCCATGACAATTTCGGCCATGGCCAAGCATCATAGTTGTGCTGCAGGTCGTGTGTGAGTGGCTTGTAACGGTCTGCATCTATAACTGTTGAATCAGCTCCAAAGACAGCGCGTGGATGTCATTGCGCGTACAGGACCATTTTCCAGTGCATCAACATGACGGCAGTCGCCTGCAATGTCGGCTTGGCTGCCCTGTTCTTCTATCCAATGCGTACGAGGCCTCGAGCAGCTGAGGGGTGAAATCCTAGTATATATATATACATACACTATCATGATATAATATTAGAATATTATATGATGGTAGTTATAATGCTATAATATACTGTCATGATACAGTACTAGAATATACTATAATGAGATAAGGTTCGACAAAGATTCACCGTCACGAGCATAACATGTTGCTGCCCTCAAGTTTATCATCCTTCAATTCGGCATCAGAGTCTGGATCACCACTATCACCATAATTCACGACCTTTGCACACGACGAGTCTGCTTCTGACCGCAACGACACCGAACTGCCACTACCACCCACAGCTGCTGTGCTAGCAGACATTTTCATGACGGGAGAGTGGTTGGGGCCGTGTTGTAACTGCAGCATTTGAGAGGGCTCATCGACGGAGTAGCTGTGAGGGAAATTGGATTGACTCTGCCAGGGAGTTTGGCATCCAGCTGATGTTCTTCTTGGTTTTCGAGCATGCGATCCTCATCCTCCAGGCCACTGTGAAGTTCCTCATTTCGGACTCCCCGGTGGATGTCACCAACATCGGGCACTACAACGAGTATGTTAAGAAGACAATGAAGAAGAAGATGGCGAATGACGTCTATCCTACGCAAACTTCCTTGCGTCATGTCGATGTATCACTAAACCCAGACAACATCGAAAGTGAGGTGGAGAGCGACTCCTCCTGAGTGATGCGTCCTACTGAACAGCTTTGAGGACTCTGTTTTCCCAGATGTCCACTTCGATTTCTTGGCTTGTGTACGATGAATGCAGCTGTCACATATCATTTCTCAGCCGAAGGTGTCTGAAATGGCTTTGTGTACTAGCACGCCGCTCAACAATGCATTCCTGGCTAATGACAACCGGATGTGCAGAGAACAAAACCCGTGCGAGCGGGTGCCATGTGCCACTTACAGAGCTGCTCTTGTGGTCGGTGAATGCTTCCCCGTTTGAGCCTAGCCAAAGTTTCAGTGACAGCTTGTAATGCTTTGCTCTACCGAAACGCCGCCGCTCTGTGGCTCACCCACAGCCTGCTTCGCCCCGCCGGCGACAGGCAATTCGGTACACCTCGGGAGTTGGGGGACTTTGCGATGGTTGTCTCCTGAAGACTTGAAGGACAATCTGGGAGGTTTGTGATCGCGAAATGACTACTTATCCTCACATCAAGGTTGATGCAAGCTCGGTTTCTAATTCTACTGTGGGTGGTCGTAGCTATACAAATGCAAGACGAACTACAAGCGCCAGTATTAGATGGTATACCAGCATGGACTTCAAAACGTCACACCAGACGCTAGAGAGAGCGCAACTGGCTACACAGGACATGCACCACACTGTCGGCTCCCAAACTATGCGCGGGACTCTAGGAACAGCCGAAAACACGAGTCGGGCCCACGCGAGTCGTTTGGCTCTGGTGTGGCTTTATCGACTCGGAGCTTTATCGAAGCCCGACATGAGCACGGGATTGTTGTCTTGCGCGGACAAATCTCGACACTGAACGCAAGAACCTCACAGTGGTGACACACGGTTTGCATAGTGAATGCTCTTCCAGCAGTAGTACGAATATTAGCAGTAGTAGCAGTAGCAGTAGCAGCAGCAGTGGCAGTGGCAGTAGCAGGAGCAGTAGTAACAGTAGTAGCAGTAGTAGGAGTAGTAGGAGTAGTAGGAGTAGTAGTAGTAGTAGTAGTAGTAGTAGTAGTAGTAATAGTAGTAGTAGTAGTAGTAGTAGTAGCAGCAGTAGTAGTAGTAGTAGTAGTGCTCATAGTAGTAGTCGTAGTAGTGGTGGTAGTGGTGGTAGCGGGGGTAGTGGTGGCAGTGATGGTAGTGGTAGCGGCAGCGGCAGTGGCAGCAGGAGTAGTAGGAGTAGGAGTAGGAGTAGAAGTAGGAGTAGGAGTAGGAGTAGGAGTAGGAGTAGGAGTAGCAGCAGTAGTAGCAGTAGCAGTAGCAGTAGCAGTAGCAGTAGCAGTAGCAGTAGCAGTAGCAGTAGCAGTAGCAGTAGCAGTAGCAGTAGCAGTAGGAGTAGTAGTAGTAGTAGTAGTAGCAGTAGCAGTAGTAGTAGTAGTAGCAGTAGCAGTAGCAGTAGGAGTAGTAGTAGTAGTAGTAGTAGTAGTAGTAGTAGTAGTAGTAGTGGTAGTGGTAGTGGTAGTGGTAGTGGTGTGGTAGTGGTAGTGGTAGTGGTAGTGGTAGTGGTAGCAGTAGCAGTTATACTATTGGCAGCAGCAGCAGTGGTGGTGGTGGTGGTGGTGGCGGTGGTGGTGGTGCTGGTAGTAGTGGCTGCACCATAACAGTAGCGGTAGCAGTAGCAGTATCAGCGGTCGTAGTCGCAGGGACCGTGACAGTGGCAGCGGAGGTGAGTGGCACAGGCAGTAGCAGTAGAAGGGGCAGTGATCGTCGTAGTAGTGCTTTATCAGCTTTTGTGGTTGATGCCGTTTGGGTCGTTGTTGTTGGTGGTGCTGGTGGTTGTGTTTGTAGTAGACGGAGAGGGTGATAAGGATGAAGTTGATGATGCTGCTTCTGGTGGTGCTGACGACTTTGGAGAAGGTGAGGCAGGAGAAGACAATAATAGCGATCTTGTCTTGTTCATGAAGGTGGCTATAGTGACTATAGTGATAATGCTTTCACGATATTGGTTATGCCTGTGATAGCTTCGTTGTTCTGATGTCGATGGTGATGGAGATGTTGATTGTGCTGCGGAAGCTGATGATAATGCTGTTGTTGAAGAAGATGATGGTGAACAAGAATCATGAATCAGAACCATGTATGTGACTGGAGTGGTGATGCTGGTTGTACATTCTCATGTTGCTGAGGCACAAAAAGTGCAGAATACTGCTCATGTTGCGCTGCCACTGCTGCTGGTGATTCAGAGGATGATGATCATGCCGATGGCAGTGGTAGTGCTAGGGATGACAAAAAGCAGGGAATACACAGGATTCTGTGGTGTTCGACAGTGTTGGGCTTCGTCGTATACCACGTGATGAGGCAGGATGATGAAGTGATGTTGGCTATGTGGGTAGTTGTCAAAATTAGGGTCCATTTTTGGGTACCCTAAATATTACATGCCGTATTATATTAGGGATCCAACAAGGTACCATAATTTTGACAACCACCCATGTGTTACAAGCCAACTCCCGAAGTTCCAGCCTGCTCTGCTGCAGGGGCTATGGCAATGAAGTCTTTTGCGGTTCGAGGTGGCGCGCCAACTTGCAATGAGACAAGATACGCTTTAGCTGTAGCCGTGCAGTCAGAGTGGTTCGAGCCGGATGTTATCTTGATGTTTTTCGAAGAGGAGCTTTTCTGTGATGCTGGGTCTCGTCTAGTGTAGTGTTTCTGCGGCTGGGCAACTTGGCCGTAACTAGACTCCGTGTGCCCAAAGCTCGGTGAACCTAGAATATTAGAATCGAACAGTGCGTCACCGGAGCAACTGGAAACCTTAGGCGTTTTGCTGCAGTGTAAGTCCTTCGCGTGGCACCATCCGTGTTTCAGAGAGCTCGGACTACGGGGTGCAGTAATGAGAGCGACTCATAGCACAAATCTGTTTTGGCTCTGAGCCCTATCATCGCTGCAAATGAAGTCCTTGGGACCATGACTGTCACAATGCTTCTTGTAATACCCGGGGCTTGATCCAAATAGAACTCCATGTCAGTGCCTGCCATTGCCTGACTGCTCAAGGGGCCGGGCGGAGACTGCCGCTGCTGATCTGTGCCATCTGCGCACATGTGGGCGCAGGTGGCTGGATTCTCTCAGGTTGAAGCACCTCACTACGCAGCAGATCAGATTCTCCAATCAGGCTGACGACTTGTCTTGACCGGAAAGATGTTACCTGAGCCTGGGTTATCTCGAACACTTCAGTTTGAGCGCCTGCATCCAAGCCGGTCAACCCGACATCCAACAACCAGCCGTCCGTCAGCCCTCCGACCTGTAGAATTTAAATACATGCGAGAGTGGAAATTGCCTCCAAGATTCGAGGGCTCAAGCATCTTCAATTTCATGTAAATCCTGCATGCTCCTTGAAACCACTCACCTGGGCGAGGTGTGACCCACTCGATCCGTGGTAGCCGAGGCGTCAGTGCAGCGCCCTGCGCCTCAGCTTTGGTCCGATAGGCGTTGCCGTCCTTTGCCGCTTCGACGACTGTAACAGAAGTGTAGGAGTTGTTGAGTAGTACTTACTTGTCGTCGTAGTCGTGGACGTGGCGCTGGCAGTGGCAGTAGTGCAGGTGGTAGTGGTGGTAGTAGTAGCAGTAGCAGCAGTAGCAGTAGCAGTAGCAATCGTGGTCGTCGTCCTCGTAGTCGCAGTCGTAGTAGTTGTAGTCGTAGTAGTCGTAGTAGTCGTAGTAGCCGTAGTCGTTGTTGTCGTCGTCGTAGTCGTAGTCGTGACTCAGTCGTAGTGAGAGTCGCAGTCGTCGTAGCCGTAGTCGTAGTCATGTCGTCGTAGTCGTCGTGGCAGACTGTCGTAGTCGTCGTAGCCATAGCCATAGTCGTAGTCGTAGTGGTAGTAGTAGTCGTAGTCGTCGTCGTAGTAGTACGTCGTCGTCGTCGTCGTAGTAGTAGTAGTAGTAGTAGTAGCAGCAGCAGGAGGAGTAGTAGTAGTAGCAGCAGTAGCAGTAGCAGTAGGAGTAGCAGTAGGGGTAGCGGTAGCAGTAGCAGTAGCGGAAGGAGAAGCAGAAGCAGTAGCAGCAGCAGTCGCAGTCGCTGTCGCAGTAGAAGTAGCAATAGGCGCACTATAGTGGTAGTGGTAGCGGTGGTGGTGGTGGTGGTGGTGGTGGTGGTGGTGGTGGTGGTGGTGGTTTTGGTGGTGGTAGTGGTAGGAGGGTCTCAAAATGTGGTTTACAATGTGGTTCATGATGAGTCCAGCTATTCACGACAAACGTTGCACATGCCAATTTTGGTAGTGCCAACAACTCATCAGCACTAGTACCAGTAGGCAATTGAAAACGAGCAGTTTTATGTGCCAGTGCTTTCAGTGCTGCTGCTCTTACCACTATCCTTGCAGCGACTGCTATTCTGCTATTGGAGCCGGGTGGTTTGTTTTTTTTCTCTTCCCGCCTCAACACCTTGCCGCCGCCTTGCCCGGAGCATCGGAGTTGGAGGGTAGGGGCGAATCCCTCCGACGAAATCTGTGCCTTGGTCTCGTAGCTTATGGAGGGCAGAGCGTGGATTGCTTGTGAGATGGTTTCGGTGAGATTTCGGACCGAGGCAAATCTAGCTCATTCTGATACAGTCCGCTAACCTATGTGCTAAAACTCCCCAACGACACGACCTCTAGGAACACGATGCTTCAACCTTTGCACCCTGCCCCTAGAGTCTTCGCTTCCGTTGTGCAGTTTCCGATGATCATGACTCTGTACTTAGCAACTACTTATAGTTACTTGTAACCCCAATCAAGGTACCTATAAGCTTACTTACTACGCCCCATGATCCTCCAAGCAAGCAGGAGCCGGACATAAGGGCTCCCTGAGCTAAAGTGTGCTAAACGAGAATCCCGTGGAGTCATTCTGCGGGAGTTTCGGAGAATTTGGGGGATACCTTCCTTTTTAGGGTCCCCTTTTGAATAAGGATCCTACTTGTTAGGGTCCTATATCAGGGTACTATTAGCGGAAACTCTGATGCGGAGCTCCTGGAGAGGTACTGCAGCTGCCTGAAAGAGAAGCTGCCTTGAGACGAGAAGCCCGACACCCTAAAACCCGATTTTCCGAGACCCCCAACATCGGAAGACCGCAGCAAAGGCACCGAGAGCCAAAGCCCCACAAAGCTGTGTCCTTAAAACCTGCAGTGTTAGTGTGTAGGATATATATATATATATATATATAATTATACATGTATATAGTTTAGTTTAGGGGTTAGGGTTAGGGATTTACCCCAGCCCTGGAGCCTCTACTGAGATCAGCGTGTGCATTTTGCTGAGGCGTCTCTGTTGACTTCCTGGGGAAAGTAAGCCGCAGAGATGACCATTGCGGAGGCTGCCTTTTACAGTTTGGCCTTTGCGCATTCCCAGGTTTCGGGGTCTAGGGCCGGCGTTTAGAATTCAAGGCTGTAGTGACTTTATTGAGCTGTGGCCTGCCAGGAGCTGACTGAGGTTCAGGATTTTTTTGCCAGCCCCAAATTCCGAATCCCGAGTCCGGCCTGTGCGGGTCTTGGAAGCATCAAGCTTGGCGGGTTGTGCTTCCGCATCGCGCGCTCGTCATGTGGGGTTCTGAAAGTATACGGTGCTTGAAAACAGTGAGGCACAACCTGCCCTCGTGGCTTCCCCGAGTGATATCGGGACCTTGGGCCCTGCTGGTGTTCGGAGCCCTGCCCCTGTCTTAGGGAAGAAGCGTTCCTTCTCAGCGCCCGTAGGCCCGTTATGGTGGTCTTGAAGTCAGGAGATTTCTCAACATCCATAATAATAACATTAATAATAATAATAATCATAATAACAATAATAATAATAACAATAATATTAACAATAATAATAACATAACAATAACATTAACAATAATAATAATAATAATAATAATAATAATAATAATAATAATAATAATAATAATAATAATAATAATAATAATAATAATAATAATAATAATAATAATAATAATAATAACAATAATAACAATAATAATATCATCGTGTGGCCGACTGGCAGTCTGCTCAGCCGTTGCCTGGTGGACGCGTTTTTGGCTCAAGCAGGAGTCCTCTGTGTGTCCGGAGATGAAGCGACAGTCGATTCGATGGTCATGCTACAATCGATAGTGATAGGGATGAGGTAAAACCACTACTAGCAGTACCAGTTGATAAACGTCAGTACGATTATGATTATCATCACCGCTGTCATCATCATTCTCGTCATCGGCATCACAATCTTGCCATGAAAGATCCAAAAACTCTTCACACCACGCCCGAACAGGCAAGATGTCACAGACTTGTCCTAATCATGCCAGCACAAGACTTGGCACTGGGCCGTCCTTCGACCCCTACGTGTGAAGGCGCAAGGAAAGCCGAAGCATCTGAGCAAAGCATCATGACGAAGAGACCACCTCCGGCACTCTTGCCCCTAGCCAACCCCGAGCCCCCAACCCAGAGCCCACTGGAGCCCCCTTTCTTCTTGGCGGGCATGGGGGTCGAGCCCGTTCTCCTTCTGTGGCTCGTGCCGGAGCCCCAGGGTTCAGCGGTGTCGCCTTCCTGAGAGTCCTGCGGACCATCGGGTGATCTTGGGATTTGGGTGCCGACTTTGCGCCTCTTTACTCGCTAGTCTTTCCGTGGTGTGAATGTTGTGTAGTTACGGGTCTGAGACCGAAGGGGGTCAAAGCAGCTCGAAGAGATGTAACTTCCGCTTCATCGCAGGGCTCCCAACCCCCGAACGCAAAGGATAAGGTTTCAGCTCTAGGTTTTCGGGGTTTGGGGCCTCGGTTTATTGGTCGCTACGTGGAGATCCCAACATGGGTATGTCGGTGGAACTTGGAGCCGTTTCAATTGTAGCACACAGAATCCGCAGCGGGCGATTCTCGCTATAGCCCGAGATGCAGAATAATCTGGCAGAAGCTATTCAAACAGCCCCAAGTCCAATGACTTGCGGAAGCCCTCGACACCCAAAGCCCACTCTTATCTTGCAGAAGCCCTTAACACCCCAAGGGCCCCCTCCCCTCTCATCTCCCACCCTAAACCCTAAACCCTAAACCCTAAACCGTCCCAGGTCAGATGACTGACATCTCCATCGATCCGAGTAAGGCCTGCAAATACTGCAAGGGCCGAGCGGAGGCCGCCGGGAAAAGGGGTAGGGTCTTCTTTGGATTCAGGGTTTAGGCTTGAATCAGTGGTGGTCTTAATGTGGCAAATTCCAGTATAGTGTAACATATCATGGCATGTCATGGTATATTCTTTTAGTATAGTTTGCCATCGTGTATTATAGTATGCGAGAGTATATAGCCTTTTATAGTACGTTATGTGATAGCATATGATTCATATGATAGAATATTATCTTACAGTATACTATATTATAGTAGATTATATAATATACACTATGGTACAATTTTGTTTTATGAGAAATCATATAGTGTATTATCTTATATGATAGTCTGTATAGTATAGTAGAGCACATCAGAGTATAGCAACATATTACAGCATAGTATAGTGCATTCTTGGCAGGGCTGGCCTCGACCTTGGGAGAGCTCTAGGATCCTTCAACCTTACAGCCACGAATGTGTGGACAGCGGTCGCAGAATTGTGCTTCCGCAGCAGATCGTGAAGCTTTGGTGGTTTTAAGACGCTTGAGATGATAGGGGGGAAGGTGTCTAATCTCACGCTCTTCCTATACCGGCTGCAGGCATCCGTTTTCGTTTCCGGTTCGCTCCCTCGCCCCAAAATTCCGTTAACCTGCAGGTCAAGGTCGATGCATCGCAGGGCACCCTCATCTGCACAGGCCACCGTTGCAGCTGCAGTGCGGCTTCTTGGGGTTCGGGGTTCGGAGTCCCTCAATCTAGAGAGCCGGCTCAGGCTTCTGAAGCCGAGGTATATGGTGATGAAAGAAATTGCCGACAAAAGTCTGCGTCTCTCCAACGAAAATGGTTTTCCACAAAATTACCCTAGAACAGGTCCCTAACTCATGAATCTGCACCACAAGCTGTGAATCTCAAACCCCAAAGGATCAGCTCCTAATCCCGAGACTATGCTTCTTGGCGTTTCAGCTCCGGAGGAGAGCAGCAGCCCTTCAAGGTCATCAGCAGCAGGAAACAGACATCCAGCAAAACCGAGGTTGAAGCAATCAGAGCTGATCTGAACGATGTTAGGAGTGTAAGATGCTGCAGGCTGACGAAGACCGACATATGTTCGAGTGCGCCCAAGCTCCTAAACCCTGAACCCTCACGTACGCGCCCAGGCCCCCAGACCTCCCAAAGAACCGTAGCGCTGAAGTTGATTCCAGACGTTCCGCTCTGACACAGGATGCGGCCTCGTCTTGGAGGCGGGTGGGGTCTGGTAATAATCGCTTGTGGTAGCAACGAACTCTCAAGAACAGTCGCGGCAGGTGTGCCCACGCTAGCAACCTGCATCATGATGTGTTCGCAAGAACAGGAGACCTTGTGGTGGCGGTGGCATCTGCAAATGCACTGGAAAAGTCGCAGCGGTAAGAACATGAACACAATACAAGCAGCAACGCCTGCACAAGCTTGCTATCACCAAAAGCTGCGCAGTGGTGGATGCAAACATACTTGTGGTACTGATCACTTGCCTAGCTGCAGAGGACCATTGTTTCGACGACACCCGCGAGTGGCGTAGCTTTGCCCCCGAGGGCATCGACTCTCAGGCTGTCGGTGCTTGAGCTCTTCAGGAGAATGAGGCTTAGGGTTTAGGGTTTAGGGTGTAGGGTTTAGGGTTTAGGGTTTAGGGTGTAGGGTTTAGGGTTTAGGGTTTAGGGTTCGTATGCAGATTTAGGGGTTAGGGTTAAGAGGCCTTTCCAGGGTTTGGGGTGTTTGCTGGTGCATGGATGCAGAATGAACAGAGCGAAGAGAGTCTTGCTGTGCAGCCGAATGTAAAGCCCCTGACTTTCGAGTTTCCCAACTTAGGTTTGACGCCCGGCTTCCCCACTTCATCTATCTGAGCGAACCATCCGAACAGCTGCATTCGTCATCCTCCGTTCCGCGACAGCCCAGCAGCACCCAGCAAGCACACGAAGAATTGCAAACCTGTGAATCGCAAGGTCTTGCAGGGTGTGTTTCATCATAGCAGGCATGCAGTCTAAGTCTTCTTTTTGGCAGGGCCCGGCGAGAGAACGAGCAGACCTCAGCACTGCCATTGACGAGCTCACAGGGGAGGCTGGGGCCTTTTCTGCTAGTCTTCGCATCGGGAAAGCCGAGTCGTCCACACCCTGGTCTCCAACTCTCAACCCAAAATCCCAAACCAAACCCGAAACCCTAAGCGCTAAAACGCAAACCCCTAAAGGCCCTAAGCCCTGAAATCTTAACCCCTAAACCCCAAACCCAAAACCAGGTGGGTGGCACGACCATCCTCGGATCCGACACAGCTTCGCCCGAGCCTCGAGGGTCTTCGACCTTGGGTTTAGGGGTTTAGGGGTTTAGGGGTTTAGGGCTTTAGGGTTTAGGGGTTTAGGGTTTGGGTTAGTGGTTTAGGAGTTTAGGGTTTAAGGGTTTGGGTTTAGGGTTTGAGGGTTTGGGTGTTCGCGGATCATCCCGAGTTGGGTTCAGGCTTTCGTTTCCTTTACATAGGGTTTAGGGCTCAGGCTTTTGGGGTTGTAGGATTTAAGGTTACGGTCGGGAAATTTAGGGAACTCGGCAGCATGAAGATGTTGAGAACAGTTTTTGTAGAAGAAGATAGAACAGCACACAACCACAGAATCCCTTAACATATTTAGAACCGTGCAGAATGAGATACAATGGCTTGTACGGATGTGGAACACTCCGCGATACCGTAGAAGACTACAAAAATCATCATCATCGTCATCATCACCACCATCATCATCACCATCATCAACATCATCATCACCATCATCACCATCCTCATCACCATCATCATCATGACTACTCCCGTCGTCGTAGACTATGAGGGCCGGTTCTGTTTGTTGGACATTAATTGCAAGAATCATAAGTACCAAGAAGAAGTCTGCTGCGAGTCTCAAAAATCTTGACAGATAGTGGGAACGATCGAACTCTGTTCTTCTTCTTATTATGTTTTTTTGCTGATTGTGTTTATGGGCAGGTTTACGATTACCATTGACTGCACTCCAAAGTTGGCCTATTCCAATCATCACCTACATTGTTATCACCATCATCACCATCACCACCATCATCACCCTCATCATCATCATCATCAGTTTTCATCACCACCATCACCACCATCACCACCATCACCACCATCACCACCATCACCACCATCACCACCATCACCACCATCACCACCATCACCACCATCACCACCATCATGACCATCATCATCATCACCATCATCATCATCATCGTCATCATCATCATCATCATGGTCAACATCAGCATCACCAAGTCACATCAGCCTCAACATCATCATCTGTCTCCTCCTGCGTTCCGTCGCGCTCTTGTGCGTAGCCGAGCGAACGCTGTCATGAAGCTTCCCAGTCTTCAGAAGCCCAGGCGCCGCATGCAGATGCTGACCAAGCAGGTCCAGAGCCACCACAAACAGGAGACCCGGTTTGGGATGGGGCATTCAAGCTTCAGGAGGCGAAGGAGCGCTTAGTTGGGGTTGGGGGCTCTTAAGTGGGAATTGGGGGTTTCTAAGAGAGCCACTGCCTTGGAGGTGGAACGTAGCCAGGCTTTCAGATTCGTAGCCCGACATGATCGAAGCCCACCATAGTCAACCTTCAAACTTCAGAGCTCATATGGGAGTTTCCGAAAATGGGGGTACCTCATTTTGGGGTCCTTATGGTAAGGATCCTACTATTTCGGGTGCTATACTAGGGTCCCCTGTTTTCGGAAACTCCCATATCCGAACCTGACCCTACACTCCCAGACTCTAAAACCCCGACACCCCTGAGGCTAGGCAAGAGAAGCCCAGCTCTGGAGGAGCTCACCGAGGAGCAGAAGAAGGAGCAGATCATCCAGCGTTTCACAGAGAAGGCCCGTTGGTGGGGTTTCACCGAATCCTGAAGTGTAGTAGGGCTTCGACACCATCCAGAGCGAACCTTCTCGTCAAGGGCTCTCCCGTTTCCTGCCTGCATTTGGCACAGTCTCTTCAGACATGTGCGGCTTTGCGCCAGCTTTTCGTGATGGTCCTTAGTTTCTCACATCGGAGGGCGTTGTAACCCCGGAGGTAGGGCTGGAGGCAAGAGTCGGCAGGTGCTCTGTGCAACTGAGGCCATGCCGTAGTTAATCTCCAAAGAAGGGTGCAAGCGCTCATTAAAGCATGAGTCATGGCCTTCTGCTGGCTCTGGCGTCGGAGGGCGTTGTCATGTCTGCCACAGTCGGCCTCTTCACGTCAGAGGTAGGGCTGGAGGCAAGAGTCGGCAGGTGCTCTTTGCAATTGAGGCCATGCCGTAGTTAATCTCCAAAGAAGGGTGCAAGCGCTCATTAAAGCGTGAGTCATGGCCTTCTGCTGGCTCTGGCGTCGGAGGGCGTTGTCATGTCTGCCACAGTCGGCCTCTTCACGTCAGAGGTAGGGCTGGAGGCAAGAGTCGGCAGGTGTTCTGTGCAATTGAGGCCATGCCGTAGTTAATCTCCAAAGAAGGGTGCAAGAGCTCATTAAAGCATGAGTCATGGCCTTCTGCCGGCTCTGGCGTCGGAGGGCGTTGTCATGTCTGCCACAGTCCGCCTCTTCACGTCAGAGGTAGGGCTGGAGGCAAGAGTCGGCAGGTGTTCTGTGCAATTGAGGCCATGCCGTAGTTAATCTCCAAAGAAGGGTGCAAGCGCTCATTAAAGCGTGAGTCATGGCCTTCTGCTGGCTCTGGCGTCGGAGGGCGTTGTCATGTCTGCCACAGTCGGCCTCTTCACGTCAGAGGTAGGGCTGGAGGCAAGAGTCGGCAGGTGCTCTTTGCAATTGAGGCCATGCCGTAGTTAATCTCCAAAGAAGGGTGCAAGCGCTCATTAAAGCATGAGTCATGGCCTTCTGCTGGCTCTGGCGTCGGAGGGCGTTGTCATGTCTGTCTCTCTTCACGTCAGAAGTAGGGCTGGAGGCAAGAGTCGGCAGGTGCTCTTTGCAATTGAGGCCATGCCGTAGTTAATCTCCAAAGAAGGGTGCAAGCGCTCATTAAAGCGTGAGTCATGGCCTTCTGCTGGCTCTGGCGTCGGAGGGCGTTGTCATGTCTGCCACCCTCGGCCTCTTCACGTCAGAAGTAGGGCTGGAGGCAAGAGTCGGCAGGTGCTCTTTGCAATTGAGGCCATGCCGTAGTTAATCTCCAAAGAAGGGTGCAAGCGCTCATTAAAGCGTGAGTCATGGCCTTCTGCTGGCTCTGGCGTCGGAGGGCGTTGTCATGTCTGCCACAGTCGGCCTCTTAACGTCAGAAGTAGGGCTGGAGGCAAGAGTCGGCAGGTGCTCTTTGCAATTGAGGCCATGCCGTAGTTAATCTCCAAAGAAGGGTGCAAGCGCTCATTAAAGCGTGAGTCATGGCCTTCTGCTGGCTCTGGCGTCGGAGGGCGTTGTCATGTCTGCCACAGTCCGCCTCTTCACGTCAGAGGTAGGGCTGGAGGCAAGAGTCGGCAGGTGTTCTGTGCAATTGAGGCCATGCCGTAGTTAATCTCCAAAGAAGGGTGCAAGCGCTCATTAAAGCATGAGTCATGGCCTTCTGCTGGCTCTGGCGTCGGAGGGCGTCGTCATGTCTGTCTCCTCACGTCAGAAGTAGGGCTGGAGGCAAGAGTCGGCAGGTGCTCTTTGCAATTGAGGCCATGCCGTAGTTAATCTCGAAAGAAGGGTGCAAGCGCTCACTAGAGTCACTAGAGCATGAGTCATGGCCTTCTGCTGGCTCTGGCGTCGGAGGACGTTGTCATGTCTGCCACCCTCGGCCTCTTCACGTCAGAAGTAGGGCTGGAGGCAAGAGTCGGCAGGTGCTCTTTGCAATTGAGGCCATGCCGTAGTTAATCTCCAAAGAAGGGTGCAAGCGCTCATTAAAGCGTGAGTCATGGCCTTCTGCTGGCTCTGGCGTCGGAGGGCGTTGTCATGTCTGCCACCCTCGGCCTCTTCACGTCAGAAGTAGGGCTGGAGGCAAGAGTCGGCAGGTGCTCTTTGCAATTGAGGCCATGCCGTAGTTAATCTCCAAAGAAGGGTGCAAGCGCTCATTAAAGCGTGAGTCATGGCCTTCTGCTGGCTCTGGCGTCGGAGGGCGTTGTCATGTCTGCCACAGTCGGCCTCTTAACGTCAGAAGTAGGGCTGGAGGCAGGAGTCGGCAGGTACTCTTTGCAATTGAGGCCATGTCGTAGTTAATCTCCAAAGAAGGGTGCAAGCGCTCATTAAAGCATGAGTCATGGCCTTCTGCTGGCTCTGGTGTCGGAGGGCGTTGTCATGTCTGCCACCCCCGGCCTCTTCACGTCAGAAGTAGGGCTGGAGGCAAGAGTCGGCAGGTACTCTTTGCAATTGAGGCCATGCCGTAGTTAATCTCCAAAGAAGGGTGCAAGCGCTCATTAAAGCGTGAGTCATGGCCTTCTGCTGGCTCTGGCGTCGGAGGGCGTTGTCATGTCTGCCACCCTCGGCCTCTTAACGTCAGAAGTAGGGCTGGAGGCAGGAGTCGGCAGGTACTCTTTGCAATTGAGGCCATGCCGTAGTTAATCTCCAAAGAGGAGTGCAGGCGCTCATTAAAGCATGAGTCATGGCCTTCTGCTGGCTCTGGCGTCGGAGGGCGTTGTCATGTCTGCCACCCTCGGCCTCTTCACGTCAGAAGTACGGCTGGATGCAAGAGTCGGCAGGTTCTCTTTTGCCACGCTGTGGTTCAGCGCTTGTTAAAGTGGCGGTGTTCACTTCGGAGTGCGTTGAGGGGTCTCCTGAGGAGGTGTCGAACGCTCGATGTGCTTGAGTTAAGTTTGCTGCGGTTCGGTTCGGTGTATGTTACGGTTCGACACTCTCCAGCTTAGCATAGCCCAGAGCCCAGGCCTGAACTATGTATTCAGTATTCCTCTGTCTTGCAAACTCCCAGTCTGCACTGTGCAGTTCCGGGCGCAAACTTGCTGCTGACCTGTGCTGTCACAGCAGCTACTTCGGTTGATGATATAGATCCTGCACTACCCATAATAAGGAATATTCCATAAATCCTACAGTTTAGGGTCCTTAAGGTAATGCAGGATTCATATCATCAACCTTTGCACCCCACCTACTCGGACGCCAGGGAGCCCCGTAGGCCTCTGCGGGACTCGAGTCCCAAGTATCAAAACATCCTTAAACCTGACAGCCTGCTGGGCAAGTGGAGAAAGAGCTACTGCACTTAATTTACAAGAAACATCTTTAAACCCTAAACCGCCTAAACCGCCTGAACCGCCTAAACCCCCTAAACCGCCTAAACCCTAAACCCTAAACCGCCTGAACCCTGAACCGTACGGAGGCCAGAGAAGTAGCACAGCGGCTCAGACTGGGTGAAGAGGTGGCGGCTCGGCCCAAAGGTCAGAAGACGAACGCCGCTCACGCTAATGATTCTGAAAAGGGCTTGGGGTGCAGAGGCGAAACAGACACCATGAGAAGCCCGATTTCATGCCCGCAAGATGTTGCAGTCGGCCGGCTCCAGCCCAGGCTGCGAGTTGGAGCCAGAAACCGCAACTTTCGTCCCCTCATGAAAACATCATCTCGGTATCCGGAAGTAGTCCCACCAACGATTTGATAACACCATGCAGAGGCAATTCAAAAACGTACACGTGGGGCACAGGGGATAGATAGACGCGGGCTTACATGTGAATCTTACCAACCTGAACTGCAGCCTGTGTCGGTGGAGCTCGAACCACGCACCCAGCATGAATTCTCACAGACCCCAAGCTGCAGTCACCTTTAAGCTTCAGAGACCATGCTTCATACTGTTGTATGTATAAGGCGATACATAAATAGACAAGACTCAGACGCTAGCAGGAACGAACAAGCTGTCGGACTATGACAGCACCTATGGCAAAACTTACGCTTGCAAAGGCAAGCACCCATCACGCAAAGCGAATTAGTAGATTGCACAAGCCGCGATCATAAGCTCCCTCGACAACTAACTCAATTTGAACAATGGTTTTGGAAACCAGAGCCGATTTCTCCCCCATGTACTGATGCTTCTCAGGATCTTCGAGCCTGGCCCACCAGGTTGATTGGAGGTTGATAGCGGGAAGGATAGACGAGCCACCGCAAGCAACGGTGTATGAAGTTATGGGATCTGGAGTGAAGTACCAGCAGCAGGGGTTACCAACAAGAGTCAGGCGAGAGCAATGCCAACAAGACTCAGGAGAGAGTCATCCTCATCGTCGTCGTCACCATCGCCATTATGCCTTCGAAACAGTCACAGAACATGGTCGGACAAGACACCCCGAAGCTTCATGTTCGGTGGTAGCAGGTAGCAGTACGGCCTCGCTTGTAGCTCAGGTGAATCGTTGCACTGTCCTTCTCCAGGACCGGCGCCTAGGGTGTAGCCTAGCACTTCCGAAGCATGAAATTGTCTGCACCTCGAAGCGCGCAAACTTGAAGACATGAAGACTGAGAATACTTCTTTTGAGCTCGGAAGTACCATGGACTGCAGCATCGCTTCTTGGACACGCTCTTGTTTTGCACCTGACCTTTCGATATGTTGGCCGTCTTGCCCCCACTCCCCACCCCAGCACGCAGCTGCCCGAAACATCACGGCAACTTCCTTTGCTGTGTGTCTTGCCTTCTTGCCTAGTAGGAGCTCGCGGACAAGGGGAAGTTGAAAATGCGGGCGACGGCGCGCCGTTGTAGGGTTCTTGAAAAGCTTTCTTGCGCTGCAAGTTCTATGTGGGATTTCGGGTTTAGGTTTTGGCGGGTTGGCAGCTGCAGGAGGAACTCTGCTGGCACACTGCTCAATGTAGCAGTACCCTGGCTCTTGTCGAGAGGGTGGTGGGTTTCTTCAGTCCACGCTACCGACTTTCGTGGAACTGAGAAGACATTCGCTTTTTCATACGTGTGGTTGTAGGTATACGCATGGCCTCATAGCTGCATAGCTTACTCAGGACATGCCCAAGAACAGTTTTGAGTTCCATGTTGATCATGGCTTCCGGATCCCAGCGTTTCCCTGTTCCCTTCGGTTTGCTGTTAAAGCCAGGGACCCCTAAGTTTTGCTGATGCCAGGCACCTTGGTTCTGTGCTCTCGTCGACTTGGCCTGCAGGGAGGAGACGGATTGCGGTATACCTATAGAGGGGCCCTGAGGTGTCACTTTTTCTATCCTAAACCCCCAACCCTTATCCCCAAGCCTGGGCTACTAGACCCTCTACCCTAATCCCTGGTCTTTCCGGTCTTTCCGGTCAGGAGAAAATTCCGAAGACTCTGCACGACCTCGCGGAGTCTAACGGTGCAGCCATTGGCGTCAAGGAGGTGAACCGTTCTATGTTCTTACAACAAGTAAAGCAATCTACAAATCTATGTGTGTGTACATATATGTATACTACATACACGTATGTATGCAACAGTAGATAAACATAAAGAAGTGCGCAAACCCCGCATAAACACATAGGTACATACATACATGATGAACAGATGTAGATCGCAATGCAACTAGTACTACAAAAAGCTAAACATAATAGATATACATAATAGTAAGTATTCATAATAATAGATAGTAGTCATGACAATAGTAGCCATGACGATAGACATAGTCGTAGTAATAATGAGAGTATACACGAGTAATATCAGTACTTTCAGAACAGGTATTATGTATTCGATGATTTATGCAGAAGCTAAAGCCGAGGGTTACTCGATCATGACACCGGAGTGCCAAGTCCTAATCTCGCTTCCGCAACCCCAACAGCATCAACCTAGAGCTTGCCACGTCAACATGTCACCGACATTCATTGAAGCGCCGGGCTTTTTCCGAGTTTGGAGAAATGTTGACGCGCAGTCTGTGTTTACAAAGTAGGTGGAGCTGCTGAGCGTGCAGCGACATCCAAACAAGCCGGCGATGAAGGTGGCTCTGAGTCAGGTGTCTTTGCTGCATGTATTGTGGTTCTCAACCCCACCCGAACCTCACTATAAAGGACCATAAGGGCTCCGTTTAAAGGGCCATTGGGGTGTCCTGGCAAACCTACACCCCTAAACCCCAAACCCTAAACCCAGCAGTCCTAAAGCTGAAATACCATCCATCTTGCAACTCCCAGGCTGAAGTTTATGAAGCGATAAAGGGTCTTTGTGGGCTGTCGGGGTGTGGTGAGCCACAGATGTTCTGAAGCTTCCTTTGCCCCTGAGCAAAGCGGGCGTAAACCAAAACAAAGCCCAACACCCGCACCCGAAAAGTCCGAGAATCCTCAAGCTGCCCTCCTGCTGTCTTTGAGGGCGCTGTGGCGAAGTCCTTGTTGAAGGGCTCGCTGGACGTGAACGGCGTGAAGGCCATGTTTCGGGTTTCCTGCAAGGCGAGTCTTCTTTACACTGGCCGCTCTTTCCAGCATGTGGCAGAGGAGCCAGGCAAGTGGACCAAGTCTCGGTTGTCATGTAGAGCAATGTCCGAAAGCTCTCTGAAGCCCGCAGCGTTTGGTTTCCAGGATGGCAGGGCCGTCTCTGCACTATGCACAGACGGCCGAATCCGATTCTGAAAGCCTTAAGTCCGCAATGTCATGCCCCTCTGAATGGAAATCTGATCGAATGCCTTCACTGCCGGACAGGTGATGCTTTCGCCCCTTCAGAGCATGGGCTCCGAGGCTGGCCCTTCAGCTTCAGGAAGTCGGATGGATTCGCAGGTTAGTTGGAGTTTCGGCCACAGGTCATCGGTAAAGCTTGTCCGACAGATGCCCAGATGAGAGATTTTGTTTTTCTGCAAGCCCAAACCCTGCACCCCAAAGTGCCGCTGCTGATGGCCCAGGAGAGAGCATGGCTTAAATGGAACAGCCACAGAGAGAATAGCTAAGGTCTGTGATGTATGGCCTGGAAAAACCGCCTGATTGAGATTATGATCCTGATTCCTCATATTGCTATGATTCTATGGTCTGTTGTTATTGGCTCAGGCATCTTGGGATATGTTTGACGGTGGCCGAAGATCTTCAGCAGCGGGTAGTGCAGCTAGCGGCGGCGAAGACTGGAATTGACATTGCGAGACATGACTATGCATTGAAGGAGGTACAGCATGCAAGAGCCTTGTCCTCTCTCATCCACTAGCTGCAATCGCTGAGATTCTAAAACGCATGCCTGTTAGGGTTCTCTTCCGTGACACCCGGACGCATCTAACCCCCAAAACCCAGCTTGGCAAATGCTAAGCGACCTCGACGAGAACGAAATCGTACTAGTCCCATCAACCCGATGGGCTCGAACAACTCAAGATAATGCCTTATGGCGCCATGGCTCAGCTTGCTTCAAGATTCAAAGAACTTATCTTCCCCAAGCACCAGACGCCCCAAAAGTGCGAATCCGAGCCCCGACAGGCCGTTGCAGTGGCCCAGTGGCAGGGAGATGAAAAGGCCGTGACCGAGGTGCCGGAAAGGTATCAGAAGGGGTTTAGGGTTCCTATAAGGTGTTAGGATCCTCGATATATCGACCGCTGACTGAGGTACTTCGACTGTTGGAAGACCTCGCTTGCGGGACGTGAGTGTTGAGGGTTCGACGGCTTTGGGGTTGAAAGTTGAAGGGCGTTCTCATGTATGGCCCGGGTTTCAGGGCAAGCCCACTTCCCAGCACACGTTGGATCCATGAAATCGAGCTTGTTCCGCACCGTGCCGTTTTAAAACCTTTTTGAGGCACAGAGCCAAGAGCCGTTGAACTGAGCCTCGACCTCTAACCTGGCACCTGCTCTGTCCCCGGCTTTAAATTCGGAGGCCATGCTGGATGCTTGCCTCCGCAAGCACATCCTGGCATTCAACCAGGCAGTGCAATAGTGAGCAGGGTCGGAAGCCGCTGATCAAACACCATCACCATCACCCTGCTTGTAATAACTGCTTTTAATCTTGACCAGCGCCATCATCGTTCTCGTACCGTCATCGTTCTCGTTGGGGTTCTCCGCCCCTTCTCCTTCTCATCACGGCCAATATCCGTTTGATCATCATCAGTTTGTTATTGAGATCCCCTAGGTAGGATGCCATCATCGTTCGCTTCAGAGCGCACAGTGGTAACTTCAATGGCCATGGTAGCTGAATTTGGCAGGAAGCAGTCGTGGCAGCAGGTGACAGTGCTGTAGGCTACCTGAGCCTTCTTCCCCTCGCAAGTCGAAGCCCTGAGGGCACTTCTTCACTTCCCTGACCAGGCTCGCTGTGAAGAAATCATAGCGAAGCACAGCAAGGATCTCTGCAATGCCCGGGGCCCCAGGCGCAATTTGACTACAATGAGCTCCGAGCTCATCTTGTTCATTCAGTGGCCAGAGCTTCAGGAGGAGACAGGTCCTTGGAGTGGAGCCAGGCCTCATAAGGCTCATCATACAAGTGCCTTCTCAACTCGAAGGTGATTCCTTGTTGGGCATAGAGTAGTATACCATAGTTGCAATAAGACCGAACCCCAGTGCAGTTCGTCCGGACTTGTAGAGCTAGGGCAGCTAGGGGTCCCCGAGAAAACCGTTGTTCGATGATGGTTTCTTTTCGCTTCGGTAGAAGGAGCAGAAGTCAAACTGCCCAAGGTTTTCAGAGTCAGATTCGCGGGATCCTTGCTCCAGCTTCGTTCGCTCAGCCCGCTGCCGTTCCTCAGAAGTATGCCATACTATACCATACCCCAGCAACCCTGCTCAAATTGTTACGGCTCCTACATTTCCCCAAGCTCTACACCCTCCACGCCCCGAAGCCCAAGAGTCCAAGAAGCCTCCAAGGATCTGTCCAGGACGAGGTCCCACGCCGCGTACTTTCAGGATGAGGACGCTGCTTCGGATACTGCTCCGGGGTGGGGGATGTCCGGTGCTGTGGCTCTGCAGACGCCCGAAGGCCAAGAACTAGTGATGGTGATGATGGCAATCATGATAACAATCTTGTTGTAGATAGCCGTGGGATGCGGATTGTGGTGACGACGACCGTGCTGATGATCATGGCTTCGACTGTTGCTGACAGGTTTGCCCTCATTCGTCGGGGTTCCTGCTGAGCATAGCCGCCACCTGACATGTTCAGATGTCAACGCCCAGAAGACCAGGTGAACACATCTCGTATCTGTTTGCCACAACTGCAGGAACTCACATCATCATTCCCAGAAGCCACCATCCACATACCCAACGCCAATCCTACATTGCCGAACCACCAACTCCGAACTCCAGCACGCAGCCTGGATCCACTGTGCATGCAGATTCTCCATCGCTATGTCACGCGGCTGGGCCTCGCGGCGCAGGCCTGCAGCAGCCTTCCAGTGCTTTTGGAAGCATGGTCTTGCGGATGCAGGCTTTCGGTTTTGTTGATGTCATGTTCGGCCTTCCTAAGTCATAAGCGTCGGCCGTGTGTAACGAAGCCTGATGCAGGGTGTGGGTTGGTGTAGGCACGACGAAAATTCCGAAGTTCATGCATGTCCACTCTTCTCTTTGATTCTTGGTGCTTTCTGCTCATCAACAGAAGGTGTCGCAACATCTGCAAAGTTGCCTTAACGAGCTCAGGTGGTGGCCCCGGCCAAACACATAGCCTGGCAGGCTTTGCAGCCGGGGTCTCGATCAAGAGGAGGTGTCAACTGTTGGAGCTTCCTGAATCCTAAAGGTTGAGGTCTTCAAGGCTTTGTTGTTACTGGGCTGTTGGGATGATGTGTGGGAACTGGCGGTCCATATGCCATATGTCATATACCTGTACATACATATATATGTATCTATGTATGTATGTATGTATGCATGCATGTATGTATGTATGTATATATATATATATATATATATATATATTCAAACGAGTATATGCACATAATTATATATATATATATATATATATGTATATGTATATTTCAAGGTTGATATCCTTTTTGACGAACTTCTGCCAGACATGGATTGTGGTGTCCTAAATCTTCAAACATTATTAGGCCACAAAGCCACCACCCAAAAACGTAGCATGCGTTCTGTTGTGCTCCCAGGCAGGATGTCGTGAAGAAGGGGAAGGCTCTGTGGGCTTGCCCGGACATTCTGAAACGATGCTGCCTGCATGACCTTGCAACTCGAGACATATGTATACGGTAGCGGCGGCCGGGTGGGGCGGTCGTGGAGGTGTGCCCTGGAATGTAACCTCATGTACTGTAGTGTAATGTATTTGTTCTACATATACACATACATACTAATTACACTTTAAATGCAAGTGTGCCAGCAGCTTTGCAGGCCATATTGTATTGTAACGCTTCCTGTTGAGCGGTCATTTGAACTCTGGTATGTATTTTCTCTGGACTGCTGACTACTGTGTCTCTTGGACTACTGTGCATCGCGGTATATTGTACTTTGCTGCAACTCGCCATCCTGATCCTTGCAGACGAAGTAACTAAATGTTGCTACTTGGTTTTGTTGAGTTTCCGGGTTTGTATTACAAGCACCCTACTGGTCAGGGTCTGTATTAAGTTATTTAGGACTCCCTACTGCCGAGACCCCTGAATCTTGCGACCTGCAGCGAAAGAGTAGCCATTCCGTGCCGTGGAGCTTAGTGTGCGATCGCTCCAAAGAGCTACAGACCACTCCTCGTCCTAATCTCGAAGCGCAATAAAACCAAACCACCAACCCCTGCAACCGAAGCCCCACTGCTGTGGCAAGTTGAGACATGAGCATGAAAGACTCTCGTTCTTTGGGAGTAGCATGATAGCCATGTTGATCACCATTATCGCCCCGAGGACTTTGACCATCAGCAGGTATACTAGCTGCCTTTACTGGTCAGACACGGGATCCCGTGTGCTGGAAAGCAGCACAGGGTTCAGGGTTTTTTGGGTATAGGGTTCGGGGATTCGGAATATGGTTAAAAGAGTTTAAGATGATGCAGTGTGAACACTACCGCAGCAGCAGTAACTATGAGAACAAGAGCACCAACTAGCAAGAATAATGGCGACACAAACACAAACTCTATGCTTTCTTGGATCCCTAAACGCTCCCAGCCCCATAAAGCCCCTAAACCCTTGAACTCAGCACCGGAACCCCTGGACTGAACCCCCGAAACCTTAAAGCCACACCGGCCCTAACCCCAAAGCCCCCGAGCCCCAAAGCGCCTAGACCTTAAAACCCTATCCCCCTCTCGTCCTACTTAAGGGATCATGGGACTTACTTAGTAACTAGGGTCATAATTAGGCTAACTATACTTATAACCCAGAATAAGGTACTCATAACCTTACTTACTAAGTCCCATGATCCTGACAGTACAGGGCCTCCTGGAGCACACGATGGCGTCAGCCTCCATGGCCGCTTCCATCTTCGTGGTTGCTGGGCTTTGTTGTTGGGTGTAGAGGGTTCGTCGAGTCGAGGGCGTTTACGGTTTTCCTTTGGGGGGCCCTCGTGGGTGCGTAGGGTTTTGGGATTTTAGCATTCTTTTCTGCCTTCAGGGCTCACAAGTTTCTAGAAGGGTTTGGGGGCTTTAGGTTTTGTGTGCACGCTTTGGAACGGGTGTTTGGGAGGTGGGGGCCGCTTTGACGTTTTCAGCTGTTCGTGTTTCGAGGGCTTTCGGGCAATATACCATAATACCTACTATAATCTACAATGTAAACTCTAATGTAGAAGCCTTACGCTTTGAGTGCGAAACCTGAACATGGGAGTCCGAAAATGTGGCAGCCCAACTCCTGCACAAAAGCCCACACTAAGCCTGAATTCCGAGTAAGACCGAGGTTAGTTGGCTGCTGGACGTGGAGCAGAAACCCAGGCGCATCAGGGCCTCTGGGTGCAAGGGTTCTTGAACCTCAGCGGGTTGTTATATAGCCCGAAGCAGTGCAGATTCATCCCTTAGCCCGAAACCCATCAATGCTTTCGTTTGCTCTTAGGTGTCAAGCCACAAGACGTAGACCTGGTACGGCCGCACTGTTGGTTAAGTCGACAGTCGGGTCAGCTCTGGTTGATCCTACAAATCGAAAACTTGAAACCCTCAGCACTTGCAAGGGATGCCGGGCTCATTGTAGCAGTAGAAATGGCACAGCTTACCCTTGAGTGCGGCTTGTCCTTCCTTTGCTCTGACCTTTGCCAGGCTGGGAGAAGTTGCCACAGTCGTGAAGGTGAGCGAGGGCTCTGTACAGGCAAGGTGCTCGGGTCGTGCTGTCTGTGAAAGGGCGGCTGTTGTAGTGGAATGTAGCACAGTAGAGTATGGTTTGGATCGATCACCATGGTTGTGTGGAAGAACCTTGTTGTGCGGTCCTTCACTGCCCTGTGCGCTTTCACTTCTAGCGACCGGGAACATGGGCCCGGGGTTGCTTGCATTTGCAGGGCCCGGCCATACGTGTCCGTTCAGCATTTCTGAGTTCCTATGTCTAGTGCTTGCAGCGACAATCGAGCCCGCACAGACATCGGCATCCGGCCAAAAAAGCAGAGCCTCGAACTCAGCGGACAAACATCCCATCTTTACACCAAGATCTTCTTGAACCCCTTCTATAGCGGGCCTTCATCATTACCTATACTATTTTAGGGGCTCCTTACTATATTTATAGTATCATGGGCCCCAAAACTAGAGCCAGGTGGCCTACAGCTCCATCCGACAGAGGCTGCGGTATTTGCTGCCCAAGGACACTCGCTTTTGCAGGCATAGTCGGATTTGGGGGTTTCTGATGTTGGCCATATATAGTTTTTCTTCATTGTCTTTCTCAGGTTCTTCATTTTCAGCCTTTTGTTTTTCTTCATTGTCTTCCTCAGGTTCTTCATTTTCAGCCTTTTGTTTTTCTTCACTGCCTTCCTCAGGTTCTTCATTTTCAGCCTTTTGTTTTTCTTCATTGTCTTTCTCAGGTTCTTCATTTTCAGCCTTTTGTTTTTCTTCATTGTCTTCCTCAGGTTCTTCATTTTCAGCCTTTTGTTTTTCTTCATTGTCTTCCTCAGGTTCTTCATTTTCAGCATGCTCTCGTGGACAAAGGCTTCGAAGATTATCGAGAGTCAAGCGAGAATCAGGAAGATTACTCATAATAAATACATTCTCACTTCAAGGATAACAAAAAAACCAAAAAAAACTGACACCAACATAAGCCATAATGTCTAGCTGCATGCTGTAGAATGTTTGGGGTTTATGGTTATTTGGCTTAGGACGTACAGGGCTCTCCGAAGCATCTGCTCCACACGACATCCGAGCCTTTTCTTCGGTCTACATCTTCGCAGTCTTGTTGCTGTTCGTGATACTTCTGTCATCAGTGTTGCTTCACTTGCTACAACGAAAAGACTCTCGTACGGCAAGGAATTCATTGTCTCCACAAGTTGCGGCTGTTCGCCAAGAAAAGGGAGTTCGTCGGCCTGTAGCATCTCTGTAATATAGGGTCCTATATAATTACCCATACTATGTTGGGGGTTCCTTATGATAAGTATGGTATAATATAATGGGCCCCAAAACCCTATTCTGATTATTAATGAGGCCCCTATATTAGCTTGGTGTTTGTTTTTTGCGGGTTTGGGGAGTTCCGGCTTTCCTGAAGCTGGTGAGCCCCACGGCGAGCATTTCGAACTCCGCCAGCGTCATGCGCAGATCGTCACAAAAAACCTAAACCCTTCAACCCTTAAATAGCTGCAATGTAAACCCGCCACATCCAGGCCGACAGGCCTTGGCTTCAAGTCCAAGTCCCAAAGCCCCAGGGCGCTAATGGGCAAAGGCCTCAGCCTCACCCCTTGAACCCAACAGCCCAAATCCTAAACCCCTGGCCCAAATCTCTCTGAAACCTGAGGCCAAGACCCTCTCAAAAATTGTTAAACCCCGATTCCCCCAAGCCCAAAGCCCCCAAAGCCATCCCAGACCCGAAGTCCTGAATGCCCGCAGGACTTTGTGATCCGCTACAAGCTTGGCCTCGAAGGCTTGCCGAAGCCACAGGAGCTCTGATTAGGTTTTTTCGGGTTTCGGGGTTGAGGGGTTGACTTTTGCGATTGAATAAATGACAGTAGTAGGCTTGGGTTTCGGGGCTTTAGGGTTTATGGACATCTTTACGGTTCCTTAGTTTCTGCCGTAGTATGCTTTAATTAAGTTGGAGGCTTCGTTTGGGGGATCGAGACACCTTCGAGGCCCTGTACTGTAGGGTTCCCCTTTTAGTGATGGCACAAGACGCAGTGCTAGAAAGGAACCCCACAGAGGCACCCTAAACCTCGACGAAAGCTTCAAAGGAACCAGAAACCCTTTAACGGAACCCTGATCGGAAGCCTTAAAGCAGGACCCGCCGCCCTCGCGGAAGCGCCCCTGCCTCGGCTCTCCAGCTCTAGGGCTCTCGTTCGAGGGCTTTTCGGGTTCGGGCCCAGGACTTCCAGGGGTAGAGTTGTAGGGTTCAGGGTTCAGGGTTTAGGGTTCAGGGTTTTAGAGTTTTAGGGGTTCCTGCGTGTCTTGTTTCGCAGTGGCCGATAGGCCATGCTTTGATGGCGTCACCTCACCCCAGGATTTGTGGATGCCGCATTTCGCGTCAAGCGACCTCCCTCGTGCGAGGGGAAGCCGGAAGATCGTTTTACCCTCCCCGCTGAACCACCCAACCCATTTCCTGTCAGACTATAATACTATAATACTATAATACTAGAATACTATAATACTATAATACTATAATACTATAATACTAGAATACTATAATACTATAGGTAGGGTAGGGTTTGGGTCTTTCGCCGTCAATGCCCACAAGGTCAGGCTTCAGGGCTGGTGTCTTGGCCCCTGAAGCCCGGTGGCCCCTTTTCGGGGTTGCGGCAATCGAAAGGCATGAGCATTTTATTGGAGCGCATGTTTGCCCGACAAGGAACGGAAAAGGATGTCACAACATCGATTGCGAACAATAGTCATTGCGCTAGTAGCCACTAGCACTGGTCATGCAACATGTCATCGTCGAAGGGACAGTGATGACAAGGACAAAAACGGTATGACGACAGGGGCAGTGACAACACCAATCAAAACAGGCTCCCTGCCATTCACTACCGTTGCTGCGTGGCCGACCGCTCCAATGCAGAACACGACTGCAACTGAAACACTCATGCAACCCAACCGCTTTATGCGGTTTGAACCCGCCCTCCCGAGGCAAACACAGTTTGATCCCTGCAAGGTTCAGCGGATGTCTTGTGAGAGCATTGTGCCGCTCTGCGACAATGAGCCTCTCCAGAAAAGCTTCTGGGAGCCGTGCTGCGTGGCTTTCGGTGTTTGGGAGCCCTCGGGTTGTCTGTCTGCAGTGCTCGAACGTGGTTTTTGGTGTATGCAGTGAATAGGCTCTGTGTGAAGTACCTCCGTGCAGTCAACACTCTTGATGGTCTTGCCGGTGGTTGCTTCCCATTCTTGGTTGCCGTCCTTATGATAAGTCAGAACTTGATGCTAGTCAAACTTTCAGGTCGAAGGAATGTTGCGAGACGGGGGTCGGTTGCGCATCATACTACCACCTCTATCGCAATGTGTTGCCATGTTCATATACTTCGCAGAACATACCGCATCCCTCAGCCACAAACCCCTTCACCCCGAACCCTACACCCCTAAACCCCTAACCCTAAACGCTAAAATCCCAAAGCCCGGAGCGGGATTTTGCTCCGAGAGCTCAGTCTCAGCCTGCACCCGGACCCTCTGAAGAGGGGTCGCGGCATGGTTGCGAAGTACAGGGCAGCTGAAGACGAGGCTACCGCCATAGCGTGCTGGATCGCTCTTGAAATCAGTGCCATTATGTGCCATTGAAGGGACCCTAACCGTCATAACCCCAACATAGCCCCAGAAGAAAGTTCAGGCTGTCCCTGGAAATCAGGGCCTCGCGAGATGTGCTGCAGATGTGGCGAGGAAGACAGACTCCTCAAAATCTCGGGCTCGGGGTGCATATTTTAGAGTTACTGCCACGTAGGGTGTAGAGTTTAGGGGCAGGGTTTAAAGGCTCGGGTTTGGGGCGCGCTGGAAACCGCAAGTTGGAGCCCAGGGTTGTGCTTTTGGGAGGTGGGGTTTAGGCCTTATAGGGTGTTTTAGACTTAGGGTTTAGGGTTCAGTTGAATAGTGCCCTCTTATAGTCTCTGTAGGGGTTTGAACTTAGGGGGGGCTTAGGATTCAGGGTTTGGGGTTGACATAGTTCTGTGGTATGTTCCCTGTAGGTTCATAGCCAGAATGGGGGCCCGAACCCTATTCCAATCAACTACTACGGCCCCAACAGTAGTTCATCAGTATATTAGTATGATATGCCCCCAAAACCCAATGCCACGACCGATCCTTACCCATAGGGCGATATCAAAGCATTGTATCCCCAAACTCCATTCCAATTATTCAGGCCCTGTGTTAAGGGTTTATGCTGTATGCTGTAGGGTCAGATCTTCCCAGGCCAACGTCTTGAATTTTGCAAGATTTGTGCGTTTCAGGGACCAGACTGAGGGTGCGAGCTCCAGCGTAGCAGAACATGGGAGGTCGTAGGGTTGGGCAGCAGGATGTAGGCCGATGCGCCACAACATCAACAGCAAAAGTCGGGTTTTTGACCCGGTTCAGTTTGTCAAGTTGTGGTGCAGATTTGACGTTATGTAGGGTTGAAATTCAAATCCCTAGATCCGAAACCGTCTAAACCCTAAACCCGAAGCCCTACTTAAGGGATCATGGGACTTAGTAAGTACTTAGGGTTATAAGTACCTGAATTGGGGTTATAAGTCTAGTTACCCTAATTATAACCCTAGTTACTAAGTCCCATGATCCTTTAAGTAAGCCCTAAGAACCCTCTTATAGACCCCTTACAGCTCCCTTTGAAGGAGCCCTTTAAGGAACCCAAAAGTTACCCTAAGCTTTAAGCCCTAAGTCCTTTCTGGCTTCTTGTCACCTCGGCAGACCCATCGACAGAAACCCTCGCAAGACCGACGCGCGCCGGGCCAGAAAAGAGCTGCCAGGGCTCGGGTTTGGGGTTTAGGGTATAGGGATTAGGGTTTAGGGTTTGGGGTTTAGGGTATAGGGATTAGGGTTTAGGGTTTAAAGGGCTCCTTAAAAGGGAGCTGTAAGGGGTCTATAAGAGGGTTCTTAGGGCTTACTTAAAGGATCATGGGACTTAGTATCTAGGGTTATAATTAGGGTAACTGTACTTATAACTGCTTCTAACCCCAATTAAGGTACTGCTAACCTTACTTACTAAGTGTCATGATCCTCCAAGTACCTGTAGCCGAAAAGACCTACCTTTTTGAGGATCTATGTGTAGAAACCATAACAAGGAACTATAGGGCATAGGCTTTTAGAGGATAGAAGACATGACGAACATCTGAAATCGGCGCCGGCAGCCGAGCAAGTAGACCCGGTAAGCCCTTCGAACATTAAGTGGGTGCAAATTTATGCAGGCAAAAATCGGAGATGCTTCTGCAGCCACAAAGCCTGGGTCCAGGGATCCAGGTTTTGAAGCTAAGCATATAGGGTTCGACTACCATGTGCCATCCTGAAGGCTATTCTACCCACCTACCCACACTTGTCGTTTGATGACCAACATCAGAGTAGCAAGATCCCTGCTTCTAATCATTCTTGTCGCCGTCCTCGTTCTCGTGCTTATCCTTGCCGTCAGCACCATCGAGAAGCAAACTGTGGAGCTGTGGGTCTGTTGTTGAAGCAGACCTTTACCGCCATGGGGTTAAGGCGTTTCCTTTGTTTGCTGTGTCACGCCGACCATGAACAGAGTTAACATCTTTGACGACGTTTCCGCCTGTGCGATCGGTTTACTCTGTCATAGTCTTCTGCTTCTTCGTGTTGTTGCTTTGCTGCCAGTTTTTTGTGGCACTCGTATCATGTACCATGGCTCTTTTATGTGGCCCTTTTATGCCTTTCTCCCTTAATCGCCTTAATCGTGCACTTTTTGACAGATGCCGCGCGCTGAAACAGGCGCCAGCTGGAGCCTTACCGAGAAGAGGGCATTCTTTCTTCCATTTCAGGTTCCGGTTCGAGGTTCCAGGTGGTGTACGTTAGTGGCCTTGACAAAAATTTTAACTCTAGTATAAACATGCCCCAAAACCTTTCTTCTACTTATTAACGGGCCTATGTTACGCGTTGAGGGGTGAAGGGTAGCCAAGGGCCGAGCACCTGTACCTTCAGATGATCAGAGCGTCTTCACGAGAAGAGTTAAGAGTTTACAGGAGAAAGGCTGTGCTTTGGGGCCTGCCGTGGACGTCCTATAATATACTATACTATAATTCACCATACTGTGATCTACCATACTATAACATACTATACTATACTTGAATAATATAATGCACTATAATACAATGTAATGCAATCTGTGCTTCTTGCAAGGCGTCGAGTTGGCTGTTTTGACAGAACTTCCGGATGTGGCAGATGTTGATAAAGGAGTTTCCATCTTCTCTCGGATTGCTTGTAATCAGGATGTGCCTTGCAGTCGCTGTTTCTGCTGCAAAGTTCAGGAATCAAGCTTTCCCATCTTGATGCCGCCAGTCAGTATGTATGACTTTGCAAAACTTCCCCGCCATCTTACCATAGTTCCAGTCTCGTCACACATTTTCTCAAGCAGCCTCAGCTCGGTTTAACCTTTGCATGCGGGGTCATGCGGTGCTGACGCCGAAACGCCTCGCAGTTCTCTTCGCTGCTTTCTGGGTAGGTTGCGCAGCACTTTGGGGACCCTTTTTCGTGGACAGGCTAGGAACTGCTTTCGCAATGGCAGACGAGCCTGAGGCCAAGAGAGCCAGGACCGAGGGAATGGATGCGCTGTCCTTCATCTCGGACATCTGTGGCACACTGAAGCGGCTGAAGCGGACAGGCTGGGTCATGCGGAAAGTTCCGCTACCAGAAAGTGACTCCGATCACATGCACCGCTGCGCCATGTGCGCCATGCTGCTGACACAGCCGGCCGACCAGCGGGACGACTACACCGCCCCAGGCATGGAGAAGTTCCATCCAGAAAAGGTGGACAAGGTGCGCCTCTTGCGGATGGCCGTCAGCCATGACCTCTGTGAGGCCCTAGCAGGGGACATCACGCCCTACTGCAACCCCACCTTAGTGGCTTCCAAGCACGAGAAAGAGAAGGAGGCCATGCAAGCCATCCGGAAGGCCCCCGGATTTTGCATGAATGCCAGTAATTACTATGACTACGGTACTCTTCCTATCACTATGACCGTTTCTATTACTGTTACTACTATCAGAAGAAGAAGAGATCAGTGCAAGTTTTGCTCCTTGAGGTGGTGGGCGACCCTCTCGGCCACGAGCTCTTCGATCTTTGGGCCGAGTACGAGGAGCTGAAGACAGTGGAGGCGATCTACTGCAAAGACATTGACAAGTTCGAGATGGTGGTCCAGGCTCTTGCTTGGTATGTACATATATACATATATATACACATTTTTTACATATATACATATTTTTGCATATATACGTATATACAAATGCACATGATATGTACATATGTCCATATGCATGCATGCACGCACACACACACACACACACACGCATACACATACATGTTCCACATCTGTTTTCGAGTTCTAAGGACCTTCAGCTAGACTCAGACGGCCTTGCATGGAATTCTAAACCCCAAAACCCTAAACCCTAAACCCAAATCAAAAAGAAACCCGAAAACCCTAAACAGACCTTAAAAAATTGAACACCTGGAGTTGCCCATGAATTCAGGCCTACGAGTATGAGAAGGAGCACTTGCGCCCTCTCAAGGACCTTCCAGGAGACTTGGGCAGACACAGTCACAAGCAATAAGGAGTAGTTGTAATGACACAGCAGCAATAGTAAGCTACGCTGCTGCCCTCGTCCTCCCGCTCCTTTCCCCTTGCTCCTGCTTCTCCTCCTCCTCCTCGTTGTGCTCCGCTTCCTTGTCCCTCCTCCTCCTCCTCCTCCTCCTCCTCCTCTTCCCATCGGCGCTACCACCAGCTACTGCTGCTGCTGCTTCTCCTGCTACTGCTTCTGCTGCTGCTGCTACTGCTACCGCCACCACTACTACTCTAAGGGTTACCATAAGGGTTCCTACCCGAAGCTAATTCTGGTATCCAAGGCGACAAGACTCCCCTTACGAACTCCGTGGGGGCGGAGAAGGCGCCTCGGCGAAGTCTTAAGTAATGCTGAAAGGGGTTCTTTCAAGGCTTCTTCTACGGGATCCATGAGGGATTAGGGTTCTTTAAGGACTCCTTTAAGGGTTCCCTTATCGTAAGCCTTAGTCAACTTTATAGTGACCCGTATGATGAAAGCAACCCTTGCAGTAAACCCTTATAGTAACCTTATAGTGACACTTCCAGCAACCGTTATTGGTCAATTTGGGGTTTTGAACCATTGCTCTTATGGCCAACCCTCATAGTGAGCCTGTTTGTAAGCCGTACGAGCTTTCCGGATGTTCTCGGCTGCAGGCACTGCAAGGCTAATCTCCGAGCCCCAAGCCCTAAACAGCTATGTGCGTCACACTGCTACAGTGTGACAGTAACGTGCGTTTCTGGGATGCAAATCTTGCTCGGGCGCTCTGTCACTGCTGGGGGTCTACGCTGGCATAGTCGCAAAGACCTCGAAAGGCCCGTAAACCCTTTGAGCCCGAAACCCCGAAGCTAAGGACCTGCCCACCGTGTGCGATGAGCCCCTGCGCCGGTTTTTCATTTCCACCAACCAGGCGCCAGGGGAGCTGGGGACTTTCCTTCCAGAGATGTTAACGAAGGACGTTACCGGGTGTTTCGATCTGAGGATGTTGAGGGATTTTGGGCTGCGTAACCAGCGTTTCGAAGGGTTTGGGGCGTGGGGTCTTCGTTGGAGTTGATCGGGATGAGCCTTCGCGTTATGCAAAGAACAGCGCCAAACCCTGAACCCTCAACCCTAAACCTCTTTTCAACCCTAAACCTCTAAAGGCCTAAACCCTTAAACCATGCCCATCCGTCAACGTCCTCAGCCTTGTCCCGCAATGCACGGTGGGAGGACCGCCCCGCGCTCAGTTTATCGTTTTGGTTTAAGCTTCGGGTCTAGATAGGGTCTAGGCTTTAGGGGGTCCTTCTCCTCAGTGTGAGTTGCCCTGCAAAGCCCGAACGAAGCATCAGGAAGCTTGAGTTTAAGAGAGCCGCAAGCACTCTGATGTGGTGTGATGGAGTATCGCACAGTATCATGCGGTATGGTGCAGTAGATTTGGGGGGGTTCCCAAGTACGACGAGCGAAGCAATATAGTTTGAGATAGCGCAAACGAGAGAGGCTTGCCTTCACTGACTGACTCATAGACCCTAAACCCCCAAAGCTTGGACGGCAAACCCTACAGGGCACACATCCGGCACAATGAACCCGAAACCCACAGCCCTGAACGCGAAGCCCTCAGCCCGAACCACCAAAACTCCAAAACCGTGAAGCCAGGCCATGGTTACCCCCCTCTTCCGGCGACTGGACAAGGTCGAGCTGATACTTCTAATACTGGGGCCTGAAGAGCTTGTGCTTGTGTCCCCGTGTTGTCCCCTTATACCGATACTGTAATAGACTCAAGAACCGTATCCCAAACCCTCAAGCCCTTCCGTACGGCGGTTCCAAAATCTTAGTTCTGGAGCTTAAACCCGGAGCCCGCAGCCCTAAATCCGAAACTCTAAGACTTAATCCAGTAAGTAGGGTTTAGGGTTTAGGGGTTCAGGGTTTCGGGTTTAAAAAACCAGTAAGCGATCTGGAGCTCCGACTGAATCTCCGCAGCATCGACCTCATAGTCTTGAGACTTGTAGTTTCATGACCCTATACCCCGAAACCCGAAATCCTAGGCTCTCCAACACCTTGGACCCGGGATGCTTAGTGTTTTTTCTTGGGGATGTTGGGATTTGAGGCATTGGGCTTTCGGTCATTCTTGCTTCAGTTTTTTTCAGGGCTTTTGGGTGGAGGGTTTTGACTGTCGGCCTTTGAGCCCATTTGGGGAAGAGCTTGCCGGGTCTCGGATGTCTGGTTTCGGCGCTTACATCCTGTTGGCAAGTAGTGGGATAACAAGCAACCCGGGGGCCTTAGTAATTGGAGTGGGTTTTGTGGGTATGCTTGTGGTTATGTTAGAGTTGAACTTTGGAATTTTAAGCAAACACTTTTGCTAATCATTCAGGCCCCTATATTTCTATTATTTGTTGATTTGAATCAGTTTTGTCATGTCGTGATTTCTGAGACTGCCTGACGGAAAGCTTGCTACTTCGGGGTCTCCGCTGTTCTTGTTCTCCATCCACCTTCTAGGTTTGCATCGCGCGGCAGAGACCACCCCCAAATGCGGTTGACTCGTTTCAGCCTTTGTATTCCGGTCCGGGATTTCATTCATAACGCTAGACGAAGGGACAGGAGCGTAAAGTCTCGTCACCGAGACCTTGAAGAACCCGTATAACTCCCCTCCAAACCCTAAACCCCAAACCCTAAACCCGAAACCCTAAACCCGAAACCCTAAACCCTAAACCCCAAACCCTAAACCCCAAACCCTAAACCCCAAAGCCTAAACCCTAAACCGCCGGAAACTGTGGGCAGGAGCTCCGTGCCAGGCGAGAAGCCTTGCTCCAGGAGCCCCGTGCTGCTGTTCAGACCTTCTAATGGGTCATTGTCAAAATTGGGGTCCTTTTTTGGGTACCCTAAATAATAGGTGTCGTATTATATTAGGGACGCAAAGAGGGGCCTTAACTTTGACAACCACCCTGATGGAACCCTGTGACTTTCAATGCCATTGGGGTTTGGCTTCAGGGTTTAGGGTTTTGGGATGATGGAGCCCTTGCAACGGGTTAAGTTGAAGATTCAGGGGCCAACAAAATTTCTGCGGTTGAGAGAATTCTGGTACAAACTACAGCCCAAAATCTATTCTCATGATTGAGGCCCCTGTATCACGCACTCTAAAGAGAGGCCGCTTTCGTAGCCAGGAGAGGGGATGGGCTGTGACGGACTCTGAGCGGCAGCAGCCGCGCCTGCAGGGGTGAGATGGGCCTCCCAGGTTCTTCGTATGTAGTAGTATACTTGAAGGATCATGGGACTTAGTAAGTTAGGTTATAAGTTCCTTAATTGGGGTTATAAGTATAGTTGCCCTAATTGTAACCCTGGTTACTAAGTCCCATGATCCTTTAAGTAGGGGTCGGAATATTTGCATCGAGTCCCCTGGTAAATTTGCAGAATCACTACCCCTAAGCCCAAAACCCTGGTGCAAAAACTAAGAAGGCCCCGATGTGAGGGAACTGCAAGGTTTGCAGCTCAGCAGCGGAAAAGATCGAACCTTATCTGGCTGCCTTCGCCTATGCGTTGCTTGCCACATTGGACCTGGATGTCTGGTGACCAAAGTCTCAGTCCTTAAAGTTGGTGGTAGTAGCAGGATCAGGGGGCAGGAGGAGGAGCAGGAGGCGGAGCAGGAGGAGGAGAATAAGGAGTGAGTAATAGGAGCAGTAGCAGACGAAGAACGCGTAGCAAGAAGCTACGCAATCTTGGTATGGTGCGAAGGTACGTGCGAAGCTGAAATAAGAGCCGTTGGATGAAACCTGCAAACCTTCCTCGCTCCCTCCCTCTCTCTGCCTCTGTTTCTCTCTTTGCTTGTTGATCTCTCTCTCTCTCTCCCTCTTTCTCCTGTCGCTGTGCGTTCATGCATGCAGGTAAGAAGAAGTTCTCAACATGTCAGATGATAGTCGAAATCCACGAAGCCCAAGTGAAGTTGCTGCGGCCCTGAACTGAAGCAACATGTGCGAAACTTGCGTCGAGGGCCCCAGTCGGGGCCCACAAGAAAGAACCTGCGCTTGTCCTACTGCAGCCCTGTCGCGAGAGATGCACGCGTGCATACTACAATGGGACAGCTGCAGCAATGCTCTAGACCATGTACTTCCCCAGCCCTGTCTCGCCATCCTCGATCCCAAATTCTAAACCCCGAAACCCTCCATCGAGTAACACGCAGATGATGCACACATTGGCAACAGCATATATACATGCTGTATCAAAGCCAGAGTTTCTGGAATCCGCTCTTGACAGGGGCCTGCTGTAATCAAAGCAAGGACGGAGCTTGTAGCAGTATGCAAAAAAGTTTTTGCGGCAGTGTACTGCTCTTCAGAGATGCGAGAACCACACAATCATCGCAATAGAAGCACAGTCAACCTCAAGAGCCGCAAGCCCTACGCCGTACGCCCTAAACCCTAAACCCCGAGCCATAAGCTCTGAATACTCCGAGACCTAAAACCCTGAGCCAAGAAGCCCTTAACCCCTTCTTTTCCGGCCATGTGCCAATGGCGGGCGATCGAAGCCGCAGCCGCAGCCGCAGCCATGCGCAGAGTTCCTCCTCCTCCGAGGCTGCAGCGATTTTAGGGGTCTAACGGTCATGGTTTAGGGTTCTAGGGGTCATGGTTTAGGGTTTGAGGGGGCTCAGAGGGCCCTCTGGCAGTGTTTAATTTAGGTCATGTTTTCAGGCGTAAGGCTAACATGGTTTCGCGAACCGATTGCGGTCGTCATGAAGAACGAAACACGACCAACAAAACCTAGCAATGAAGATCAAGGCCACCAGTGACAACATGAGCGCCATTACTACGAAGAACACAGTAATCGTAGCAAGAGTCGGTGCCACCAAAAGATTTTCGGACCGAGATTCGCGGCAGAAGAAGACCAACGACGGCCAGGTAAGCACAAGACTTATGATCGTATTACGAAGGATTTCGGGTTTCTAACTTAGCAGGTTATTTGGGCTGCGAGGCTTACGGCATGCAAGGTTCGGCCTTCCCGAGATTTCTGCAGGTCACGCGAGCGTATGATTTCTGGGCGAGGCTGTTTTGTTGACGCCAAGACATCACACCGGAGAGCCCCACAAAAATATAATAATATAATATAATAATATTACATAATAAATAATAAAATATAGTGTGTGTATATATATATATATATGCTTCAACGTCAGGCTGCTTCCGAAGTGCCGCCGGCGAGGTCGGGGTAGTATCCGTGGTTGAGTCAGTGCTCGGGTCTGAAGAACTTCGCTTCTCGGAAGCCGGGTCTGATTGGGCGCCATATCGTACATAAATACATATATATATATATATACATACACATATACCGAATAGATATATATATATATATATATACACATAAATGGATATGGACCTGGGTTCCCGCATGTCTCCAGTGTCGGAGTTGGCAGCCTCACCCCGAAGAGCCTGAAACATGGCAGACAAAGCTCTTCCACGGCCTCCGACGACGACATCGAGGACTGTGAGGAGGCATCTGTGGAGCTTTCAGGGCATTGGCTTGGATGCCGTAGACCTCAAAGACTTGGATGTTTTTCTGTTTGAGGTCCTGATCCGCAGATTTGACCCGGGGCAGGGTTGCACGATGTGCGAAAGCTCCCACAGTATCGGCGCTGCGAGCCCCTTTGCTCCGATTTGCTCCAATTTGCAGGGCCAGAGCCTCCATGCCATTCGTCCCGGCGTCCTGCTCTGCGACCGCTTCCGCGTTCGTGGGCGGCTTGGGACAGGACTGGTCTCTGCATTCCGATGCACAACCCGTGGTTGCATGATGTCGGGGGTGCTCGTCGTCGTTGTGTTTGTTGGTGGCTGTTGTTGCTCTTCTTGCTGTGGTTGCTCAGGTTCTGATCGGCAAAGCAATCATGCGAAAGTCTCCGTGCCACTTTCAACTTCGCACCCCAATTGCTGCCAGTATGCTGCTGTGCAGTAATCTGCCTTCCTTGAAGGAGCGTTTGCCACCGTCTGGCTCTGCGCTGACGAGGCAGATTATGAATTGTCAGAGCGGGGGGGCCAAGGAGGGAGGATTTAGGGTTTTAGGGTTTGAGGGTTTGAGAGTTTATAGGGTTCAGGGCTTAGGGTTTAGGGTCTCTCGCTTACTTCCGGCAGCTGCTTGAATTGAGCAGTCACGGCAGCAATCACCTTTCCACCTGAGCTGTTGACCGAACTCTTTTAGGTTCCTCAGAAGGACCCTTTTGCCGTTTTTCCTTTTAGGCTCCCTCGTTAAACCAAATGGTACGAAAAGAGGTACCCTCATTTTTATTAAGAGGGGAACCTACTGCTATTGGGGTGTGAGCAATTACCAATACTATTTTGGGGGTTCCTTATGGCAGTAAGATGCCCCGAAACCCTATTCTAATTATTAAGGCCCCTACATCCTTAAATCCCTTATAGTACCCTTATTGTACCCTGAAAGTATCCCTTACAGGAACCCTACTTGGAGGATCATGGGACTTAGTAAGTCAGGTTATAAGTACCTTAATTGGGGTTTTAAGCAGTTATAGGTATAGTTACCCTAATTGTAACCCTAGTTACTACGTCCCACGATCCTTTAAGTAAGCCTTAAGAACACTCTTATAGACCCCTTATAGCTCCCTTTTAAGGAGCCCTTTAAACCCTAAACCCTATACCCTAAACCCAAGGCCCATACACTAAGCCTCTGCAACTCCAAGTCGGCTTCAGGAGCGAGAAGAGGCCGACTTCGACCTTGTGGCTCTGAAGGTGCATCTCGATCTCGATTGTGCGTCCTATCGCGGTGCAGTCGACTTCTTTCCGTGCATATATACATGTATGTATGTATGTATGTATCTATATTTGCTTATGTATATATATATATGTATGTATGTATGTATGTATGTATGTATGTATGTATCTATATTTGCTTATGTATATATATATATATATATGTGTATATATATATATATGTATGTACGTATGTATGTATGTGCGAACGGACTGCGATGCCTTGTCAAGTTCTAAGGTGTCACTATAAGAGCTGTGAGCAAGACCGTGTAAAGTGCAAGAGAAGGGGGCACGCTACGCGTCCCTCGACTCTAAGGGGGCACGCTACGCGTCCCTCATCTTTACCTTTCTATGTGACCGCCCACGCAACGTTTGGCTCAAGTCAATGCCCATAGCTAAGTGCTATAAGTGTCTTCTATCCTGAGCAATCAGAGCTATCCCGTTGCACAGACGAACCGCCGCCGGCAGTGAGTGCAAAAGGAACGGCCGCCGGTTCTGCCTGCATAGGATTGCACGTGTGGAAGTGTGAGAGAGACAGGGTCCAGTCTGTGGAGAGTGCAAGCCAGCCACACCTACATTCATTACAGCTCTGGTGGGGAGAGCAGCAACCTAGTCGAGATCAATCCCCCACGCAGGTTATCAGCCGTACGCGGCTCTGCCTTTCTACAGCAACGACTACTTGATCTACTACGACCACAATGAACTCGGGATCAAGCCAAGATACGACAATGACTTTCGGTGCCGATGTGGCAGCGCCAGCCGTTGGTGAGTCAACAGCTGATGACACAGTGGTGCAATCCGTTGATAGCTCCACGGAAGATGACAAAGGTCAATCTTCTGCGCTTGCCATTGCAAAGGCAGTTCCCAAGGTGAAAGCAAAGAGTCTACCAAGAGCATCTACGCCTTCGCGTCCGACATCCACAGGTTCGAGGACGGGCAAGGCTCCCGAACGACGAGCCGAAGCGTCTGGTTTTCAGGCACCTCGGACTACGTCCAGGGCCAAGGACAAAGGAGTGAAGACCTTGGAAAAGAAGTCAAGACCATCATCTTCGAGAAGCTCTTCAGCACGATCAAGGACTTCGGTTACTCGTGGGCGTGACAAGTCCATGACTTGGAATCGGATGGTTACCAACCAACCACGCGATGCTGACGATCTGGATATGACTCTGGACACTATCCCAGCACGTGGTGATGCGTCATCGGCGGCCACGCCAGCCATAGCCGATGGTCCGAATGCTTATCAGGAGCTGACGATTTCGCAACAATTCGAAGCATCGAACCTTGCGCAGCAGATGTACTATCGCAGTCAGATGCAAGAGTACGAAGGAGTCGTCCAGACCCTGATGGACAAGATCAAGGAGATGCAACAAGAAGATGAAGGATCTGGAATTCGCATCGAAGAATTGGAACGACAACGTGACCATGCATGCTTAGCCATGAGGCACATCAACAATGTCAATCAGGAGATGAAGCGAGACTATGAAACAGCTTTGTTTCGCATGGATGAACAGAACTCTGCTCAACAACGTCAAGCACATGCCGTTGCCGAGGAGTTAGCTCAACAGCTACACGTGTTCCGCACGGAAGCAGCCACTAACTTTGTGCAGTTGGAGGCAAGAGCGCAAGGCGATGGTGAGCTTATGGCACGTGAGTATGAGCGTCTGACTCATGAACTTCATGAACATGCCAGAGAGAACTTGGTCCTCCGGTCAAACACAGCAAGTTCGGAACAAGCCTTACAAGCAATGCAGGAACGATTCCACTTGGTCAAGAACCAGGAGTTGCGGGCCGTGAACGAGATCCAAGGGCTAGCTGGAAACAGCGCAGCCATTGATCAAGAACGACTTCGGCTTCGCGAACGTCTTGGTGAAGAGGAAGAGTACCGCAAAATGGCTGTGAGGAGGATGCAAGATGCAGAGGACCGACTTCATCAGAATGAAGATCATGCAAGGCGAGCATTGCCTACCTTGCACGACGAGCTGAGTGAACTCAGGAAAACGCTCAAAGCACAAGAAGATCTTCAAGCGAGGACACGCAGCGAATTGGAGGCAGCGCGGAACTCCAACTATGGCGGAGCGACACGGCCTTCGAGCATGCCCATGTCTTCGAGGACTACTGAGTCTGGCTGGGAGCACGTAGGAAAGGAAGTAGTGCCTGCATTTTCCGTAGGAGGTGAGGTACGATCCCCTGAAATACGGTCCCCAAGTCAAGTTAGTCCAGTCGCCAAAGAGAAGTTCGCATTCTCGGAATCGGACAAGGACAAGAACCTTGTGATGGATGGAATTCCATTTACCGGTGGAAACTTCTTCACTGGCCGCAATTCAATGCCAATCGTGGCGGATGCAATGCCCGAGCACTACGTGCCAGGTGTTAGCAGCCCAGCACTTGCGCGTTCCACGCCTAGTGCAGCCACTCTGTTTGGCATACCAAGCGGATTTCATGGGAAAAGTGATGCGGCAGCCGTGCGTGATCGACAGCTACGCGAACTCTTGGAGGATCGCGGGATGTTGGGATCGAAGTCCACAGCATCTGCCAGCTCCTCAAGACCTGTTGGTGTCGACGGCATCACCGCATCTACGAAGGGCAACGACCTCATTGGTCCCCCTATTGCCTATGACGATTCCATTCATGAAGCAAGGAGACGTCAGATCGAGAAAGAGGTCGCGGAACGGTACGAGGAGAAGATTGCCGATCTGCGAAGCGAAGTACTCAAGGCCCAGAAAGCCGAACAGCGTCTCAGAGCTGATCGTGATGAGTGGAGATTATTCGCTGAAACGATTCAGGAGGATAATGGAGACGATGACGGTGACGAAGCTGGCGACGAGAATGAAGATGGAGAGCATGATGAAGGAACCGGCACGGGGTATGACCCTCCTGACCCGCCTGATGATGATGATGATAAGAAGAGAAGCGGTGGAGGCAAACCTGAATCGGATCCTGGCTCTCATGCGCGTGATCCTGATGGAGATGCAGATCCTGAAGTCACGGAGGTGAGAATTTCCAGGAGGGAGGCCGACAAAGTGACCGTTCCTCCATGGCCTACTCTCACTCACCTCAACAACTGGCGATCCGTATGCACGGCGAATGTCTTAGGAGCATCAGCCGATCCAAATCATGAGGATTGGATGTTATGGCTGGCACCAGCATTCAACCCATTCCCAGATGTCGAAGCACTGAACGATTCAGGACACAAGAAGTTCAAGAGCGTAGACGTCAAACTGGGGATCGCTATGGTCGCAATGCTACGCGCTGGTGGTGACAAATCTGCTGACCTGTACCTGGAGGTGAACCGGAAGGCCAACGATTACATCAGCAGGCCCGAAGGGAAGATCATCAAAGGACGACAAATCATTGCGATGATGTATGAAAGTTTTCGAACGCATGATCGTCTCGACATGATCATCACTCTCGAGTATCTGGTGAAGCTCCAGTACCAAGGCGACAACAAGCTTCATACGTTCAAGCAGACGTGGTTGGAAGTTCTGGGACGGATGAGGCCAGAAGACATACCATCCAAAACAGCTCTCCGTGATTGCTTGTACAGCAAGATCAAGGACTCGCCCGCAATGAAGATGGAGTTGGGCATGCACTACGAACACTTGCCCTACAATCATGAAGACCGATCGTACGACAATCTGATGAAGATCATCGACCGTACCATCATGCGGAGACGAGAACAGTCAAATCTCACTCAGACCCAAATTGGCTTGCGCCAGATGCTTGAGGGCAAGGATTTGCTTGCTGCACCGGCCAAGGTACCTGAGAAACCAACGCCTAACGCAGCTCCATCCGCAAAGGTCAAGGCTTCGCCGACCAAGCCGGATAAAGCAACACCTGTACTACCTCAAAGCAAAGCGAAGAGTCATGCGAAGACCAAGCCAAAGCCCAAGAAGAAGACGAGGAGTGAGTCAGCGGACAACAGAGGCGACAAGAGCAAGAAGCAAATCCGCTGCAAGTTCCATTTCACAGATGCAGGGTGTCGAAATGGTGACAAGTGCCCATTCAGTCACTCGAAGAAGACTCCAGAGCGACCCTTTACGCCGAGGACGAGAACTCCAAGTCCATCTGGAGGAGGAGGAAACAGGATATGCTACTCGTTCAAGAACACAGGCTCGTGCTCAAGAGAGAATTGTCCTTTCAAGCATGAGGCAGCAGCTACCCCAGCTCCGGAACCAAAGGCAAAAGCCAAAGCCAAATCCGAAGCAAAAGCAGCTCCAGCGAAGCCGAATGCCGAGGCCAAGGCGCTCCCTGCGGCACCCGCCATCAGATTGTGCCGAAGGTGGAATCCATCAGCCCCGGCAATATGGAAGCGATCATCAAGACAAGATGAGGAGGAGTCAGATTGCCCATCCGTTGACAGCGACGCTGATTCGGATTGTTCTACAGACGACGAATCCTCGGGGCCGACTACGTCGACCCAAAAAGGGATAAAGCGTAATGTGACATTCGCCGATGACGTGAGGTTCATTTCTTCGTGTCCTAGAAGATCGAAGAAGGACAAAGAACGGAAGGTGAAGTACGTCGACATGGAAGCGCTTGTCAACGATGAGGATCGCGCCGTGAATTTGGAATTCGCCAAGCACAAAGCGAGATTGAGGGCACAGATTATGAGAGACATGGTTGACGACGATGATGATCAATGCGGAGATCGAGTTTCATTCGTACGAATCCCAGGAACGTCTCGGGTGGAAGAAGTCTCCTTCTACGACGGTGAGGATTCCATCGTTGAGCGTGAACTCGATGCTGCACACAGCAAGCGGATCATCAATCAAGGTGTATGCAAATGCATGGTTCAACCAGTCATCCTCAAGAAGAAGATCAAGTTTCTCATGGACACTGGGTGTGGCCACGACCTCATATCTCAGAAGAAGATCGAGAAGCATAGTCTCGAGACACTCGTGACTCCAGAGCCCATATCATTTCAGACAGCAAATGGAATCACCGATACCGATCTCGTGTCGAATTTCCAGACTGAGTCGTT